TCTTGCTTCCTTAAAAAGAATTGTCTATCTCATTAGGTATTATAAAGTTGAACAAAACAGCAGAGAAGAAGACCAATAAAACCTAAACCGTGTAAACATTACAGGACTTCCAAAGAAGATAATAGTCAAACCAGAATGGGCATCATAGTGAATCTTATTGCCTTCAAAGTAGTTGCCTATACCCTCAAACTTGATACTTACATTTGATTTTTTAAAGTTCGAGTTATATCATTTTCATAGTATCTACAATTTAATAAACTACTGACTTATAAATGTTGCAAAAATTTTAACCTTCAATTTCAATATTTTGTTTCAAGAATATTAACAATATTTATAGCATTGAATTGAATTCACTAGAACAAGCATGATGATTTAACTACATTAATTAAATAAGAAAAATATGAGAAACTCAGAGTTCAAATATGTGCATCTGTTCTGAAGTCTATAATCATGCCAAAATCTATTGCTGGTTTTATTTAAATCATTATGGTACAAGCTCTTCCTTCTGTCAAATTTGTTCACCCTAACTTAGTTTCCCAATTAATTTCTATATTTACTCATGTTTATAATGAGGAAAGGATTTGATTACAAAAGAGAAGGACTTAAAAACTATTCCTTAAAAAGCATATTTAATTTTCATTTAACATTCTCCATTATTCTCTTAGGACACTTCCTTATCCCTTTTTTCATTCAATTCTATGTGTAAATAAGAACTTAGCCTGTGCCAAAATCTGTGCTCATTTTCTGGAATTGCAATATGGAACAAGATGAACACAGTCTGTCGCTGTATGGATCTTAAAAATAGCAAAAAAAAAAAACTTTAAAAGAACTTAAAATTGCAATTTCACAAGTGCTATAGTGGACAAAATACAGTTCCTAAAATGATAGAAAGGGCTTCTAAATGAGAGTTATGTAATCAGAGACAACAAAAATAACAAATACTTCATGAATAAGTTATCATCTTTGCTTATTAATTAATAAGCTTTAACTTTAGTGCAGTCTCTGCCCTGGCTGGGCAAAGTTTATGGTTTAATCTTGAGTTCTGATCATTTTCATTTAGAACGTTGCCAAATGGCTCTATTTCTTAATTACTGTTGTACATTAGAAAAATTATTTCTACACAAAATGAGGAGAATATAAAGAAAAAAAACAGCTTTTTTTCTCAAATAGCATCCATGTTTGATGGGTCATGACATTATTCATTGAATTCCAATAGTCTCTTCACATATTTTTTTAAACTGATACATGTTTTCAACAATCTAGCTTTTTCAACAAACTCTTAATATCAAACTTCTGGATTTCTATTTCTCAATTTTCTGTTATAAAGAAGAAAACAATCCATTCAATTTGTAATAGCTGGGAAAGCAATCTCAAATTATATATGTTTGTCACAGTCAGATAATAAATGGAGCTATAAATATTACAAAATAATTCTTTAGTAGTCTATATTAATTTAAAAATCAGATTAACATTGTGAGAATTTGGGGGGGTTAGACAAACAACTAATTGGTTAGTGTCTTTTTGAGAAAATCTACATCTATCTATATGTACATGAATATGTTTATATATAAGTAGATATACATATTTCCATGTACACTTATATCTATATCTATATCTATATCTATATCTATACCCATATTTATATCTCTGTGTCACTGGTGCCATATATACCATCTATATAACTTGTATCGATTGTATCACCTATATGTAGATAGATGATACACATGTATCATCTATATGGAGATAGATGTATATAGATATCCATAGAGAGATACACACATAGGGGATTTATATGTTTATCCATTGTGTGTATACATACATATATATATGGATAATTTAATTTCTAGATTAGATTGACCTAGATGATCACAGACATTACACTGTGGCTACAGATCCAGAGAATCAAGTACCCGGTGAATCCAAGAAACTCTAAGCCTAAAAAGGAGATATCAGTGACATAGTACCAGTACAAAACTGAATGACTTGAAACTCCCTCTGAGTTTCTGGTGTGAGGCTGAATAAACTGGAGCCTGATGCCACAGATGATATCAACAGCAAAAGAAACCATCAAAGTGGAAGGACCGCGCAGGCTCACTTCTCACTTCTTCCCCTTTGCCTCCATCGGGGCTCAAACCCTATTGAATTGTGCCCCCCATAATCGAGGTGGGCCTTCCCTCTCAGTTTGCTGGCCTATGTGCCAATCATCTCAGGAAACATCCAGACAGCTCTTAATCCAGCCAAGTTGACTATCAGAATTAACCATCACAAGCAGCACACATATCCATATATAGATTTATATATAAAGAGAGATATATACATCTTATTTTTAATTAACTGATACTTTATTTTTGTAAAAAGTTTCTTCTTAGTTTTTCAAGTGCCTGAATAATTTAAAATCAAGTTTTCTTGTTAATAGAACTTTCCTTGATTTCATTGAGATTTGTGTAGATACTTTCTATATCCAGAAAATATTTCCTGTGTGGTTAAATAAACAATTTCAATTGTGGGTTGCAAAAATAAATCCTACAATATTGTATTTTTGCTAACATGTTTACCATATCACAAACACGTCTTTAAAACTACAAAAATAGTCTCTGGTTGAATACTTTGTCTTTGGATGGTTTTAGCATCTTTATTGCTATAAAATTTTAACCCAAATGACTGGCCCAGTGACCTGAGATTGTGATCTTTTTATCCTATTATTCACTTCTTAAGATTGCTATGAAAATTGAATAAGATTACAAGTATAACATTATGATTTAAAGTGAAATTTTCTAATGATATAACTGGTTTATAGAAAAGCTTCAACTAAAAATAATATGCTAAAATACATTGCAAGTCACTGATTTTCAGCTATGATTGCTGATCTCCTTTTGCTCATCCACATCATCTTGGGAATTGCCTAGAGTATTTTAAACTCTTGCAGTTATTTACATTTTAGTTCAGTTTGAAATTGCACTTGTAAACTCAGTTTAAGGCTTGCAATGACCTATGACTGCCGTGAGATAGCTGGAATGATTATAGTATGGTTACAGGATTATTTTTCATCTTCTATGTTGATCACTGTTGCTTCTTTAATTGTGCAGAGTGGTTGAACCACAGCTAAGCTGGAGATCAACCACACATTGGAGGCTAGAGGTAAGCCAGCCCCAAGAACATAGAGTGCTGGAGGTGAGCCATGTAAACAAGTTGTTCAGATTACAGCAGAGCCAAACTAGCAGGTGTCTGGCCTTGGGGTTCCTCCCTGTTAAGTACAGCAAGGATAGATCTGAGAATGTTTCACTTTCAGTGTTCTCAGCAAAAATATTGAGACCTTGCACTTTTGGCCCCATTGCACACCCTCGGTTTTAACTATGTATGAGTAAGAACACATAGGTGACCTCCATCAGAAAGATCAGGTCCCACCCAGTCCCAGTTTTTTTCTATATGTCTTGTTTTTTCTTAATATTCCATTACCCCCCCCCCTCAGGCCCCTGCAGGCTGTATGAGTCACTGCATTTAACCCTACCCTGACCTTCAGCAATCTATGAGAATGTCAGGCATCCAAAAAACTGTTTGTTGCCACAAACCAGCCTGAATTGCTGGTTATCTCATTTGTGAAAAACCCTGAGGCCCACTTGAAAAGGGATTCAAGTTCTTTTTTCTCAATTCTGTAGTTTCTGTTTAGTTCCCTTTATCCGGTAAGCAATACTCTGGTGGCTATATAATTAGGGATTCTCAAATTTGTATATCTTTTGTTATGTTCTTTGATCTAAAGAGGAATCTTACATGCTAATTCAGTGAGAATGTACACTGTCACACTGCATGCTTTTCTGTCTCCTCTGCACTTCTCTCTAATCTTTCCAATTGCTCTCCACATAAGAGAGAGTCTAGGGCCAAGGATTTAGCTCAGTGGTGCAAGCACTTGCCTGGGAAGCTAAAGGTCATGAGTTCAGTCCCCTGTACCAAAACAAAACAAAACAACAACAACAACAAAAAAAAAAAAAAACCCAAAAAACAGAGAGTCTGATCAGCTAGATTCTAGATCACTACCTCCACTGGATTAGTGAATGGGTACACATCTACAGTTTTTGAACTATCATCATCTGGTCTAGTATTTCCCTTTGTGTTTGGCTATTATTTAGAAAGAGGGAATTCTTTAGCTGAGAATATATAGGTTTAATGAATAAAGCCACAAAAATATAACTACTTCCCAAAGGCAGTTAATTGATTCTTTATTTTCTAAACACTAATCAATTATCAATTAATTAATCAAAATGCTAATATCTAAGGATAAGACAAGTTAGACATGGTTGATATCCAAAACTCAACAGTCTGGGGGTAGATAATTGCTGTTATAAATCATATCATACTATAAATTTCAAATTAGACTTAAGTTGGCTTCTTTCAATGGTGAGTATATTAGTCAGATTTTTTCGATGTTTTCACTCACAGTTGGAGAATCTGACTAATTCCACTTAGGATCAATCAGGGCATTATCACAGAATAGCATGGTGAAGCAAAGCTACCTACTTTATTGTGGCTAGGAAGCAAAAATAGAAGAAAAAGTACCAGAGACTAAAGGGCCAAGGACAAGATACAATCTCTAAGATCTCACCTCATGAGGGATTCCCTTCAAATAGGCCCCATCTCCTACGTTTCCAGTATCTCCCAAGAAAGCCATTATGACTCTTCATTGCAAAAATATGATGAAATCAGTGCCCCCTTGATCCAGTCACTTTCAAAAGTCCATTGGCAAGGGATTCATCAGCAGATAAACTATTGAAGAGGTTAGCACCCTCAATTCACTAGTCTGGTAATTCATACTCTTACCATTGTAATAGTTAGACTGGAGCAACAATTGATTGCCTCTGGCAATCTATCCAGGGGATTGTGGATCAAGCTCTGGATGTTTCTGGGTATGTCATTCCTATTCTGGAAATGCTCAGTGACCCATTTTTTGGTGGGCACTTCTCCCTGTTCTGCCTCTGCCTGCTGTAAACTGAGCAGTTATTCTCCATCACATCCTTCAGTTATAATGTTCTGCCTTGGAATGACTGGACTGACCATCAGAATTTACTACTGTAAGTTGTGGGTGTCAGGTATTGTACCCCCGTGATAGAAAAGCTGACTAATAAAATGATAACAGATTATTACATAGCACTGTATTATTACTAACTAGTAGAATGTCACCTGCAATGTGTCTGAATCTAATCAAATGATTTTGAGGGAAAATTAAGTCAGAAGTAATAGGAAAATGGAGAAATATAATTGAAGATATTAGAAATAAGTTGGGGTGAATGGTGGCTGGATTTAGATTTAGCTCAACTAGTTATCTGAGGCTCTGGTAATGCTCTAATTTTTGTCAAGATCTTAGTTTTATGTGTCGCCTTTATTATAAATATCAAATTTCCCTCTGTTTTGTGCCTTTTGTAGGATGCTGCCCTCATATAAGCATATGTTAGGCTAACATTAAAATCTGTAGGTTGAAATACTATCCCCTAACATATCTACACTTGTAGACAGAAGTTATGAAGACGTAAAATTTTAAAATGTCCTAAGTGTGAGATTTCTACTGACAAAAAAGGTGAGTTAATAAGAAAATAGGTAAAGAACTTGTCTCTCTTTCTTGCTCCCATTCCACTCTTACTGAACAAACTAAGATCATGTTAGAGCATCAGAGTGAATCTATCTTATGAGTGCCTTGACCTAAACTACTCAACCTTCAGAACTGTAAATACTTTATATATTTTAAACCTAAAAGATTTAACATTTTGTCAAAAGTGTAGAGGTGATGAATGAATTTAAAGTAATAAAAACTATTTAATTATATATCATATGTAAGAGAATCACTTTAGATTTAAAGACATACATAGTCTGAAATTGAAAAGCTAAAAATGACAAATATGAATACAACCAAAATAAAACATACAAAATGCTATAATTATAGAAGACTGAAAAGACTTTAAGAGCTTTGTAGGAACAAAAAGGCATAATGTGACATTAAGAAGTCCAATTGAGAAGAAAGATAAGATGTTCTAAAGATGTAAACTCAGCATCAGAATATTTAAAATAAAAAATATTGACATGTTTACAGGGAGAATTTGAGAGGAATGTCATAACAGTAAAAGCATTCAATATTCTGTCTTCAATAGTAGATATAATATCTATAAAGAAAATTAATAACTAACTTGAACAGAATCAACAGAAATACACAGAACTTTACACGCAACAATAGAAGAATAAACATTTCTCCAACGTCCACAAAGAACAGATAAATCAAATTTCAGATGACTAACACAATGTTATGGCTTATGTTTAGATGTTCCCCCAAAGTCTCTTAAGGTCATAGGATGAGTTGTTTTTAGAGGTGGCTGGATCTAGAGTGCGTGGTTAGTTCACAGTGCAATGCTGGGATGAAGGATTTGAATTTACTAAAATCTGTCCCTGATTGGTTTGTCATCACCCTAATCCCAGGAGCCTAGACAGAGTATGAAAGGAACAGAAAGATGCTGCTAAGGTTACTTGTTTTCCTACTTTGTCGGTGCCATGAACCATTCCTTAATACTCTGGCTTGCAGCTAGCTGATTATGGACTGAAACTTCTACAATCTGTAAGCTAAATAAACCTTACCTCCTTTAACTTTGTTTTTTGGGTATTTTGTCCCAGAAGTGAGAGAAAAGTAACTAAGAATGGTTTAAAGATATTCTGCCTTAGTTACTTTTCAAAACAAATCTTAAAAAATTCTCAATATAAACAAAAAGGATACAGTGTAACAAAATGTGAGATAGAGCAAAGAAAGTTCTATGCAAGAGGTTTATCATGATAAAGGTTTAGATTAAAAGAGAAAAAGTCATAAAAGAAAAAACTTAGACTTCGAGTAACCAGAAAAAGTAAAAATGAGCTGAAAATAGCAGATTAATGAAATAATACTAGAACAAAATGCAGCAAATTAAAAAATATAAAAAATAGAATATGCTGGATATTTGACAGATAAAACAATAATTAAGAAAAAGAAATAACGTGCAAGTAAACTAGAAATTAATGAGTAGAAAGTCTACTGATTGAGTACCTAGAGAAAAAAGAGAAAGAAAATTATTTAAATTATAAACAAAAAGTAAAATTATCTCTATTCGCAAATTTTAGCATTACATATGTATAAAATCCTAAAGCTTCAACAACAGCAACACAGAGCAATTCCAGAAGAGGGTATCTACTTTCATTACCATTTTAAGCAAGAAAGAAAGCAAAGAATGAAGAGATTACATCACTTTTCATAGCTAGCATTAGGATTTCTCCCTAGAAGAAGTAAATTGTAAAGTTAGGCATACCTAGAATCCTGACTAGACTAACTCTGATTTAAAACAATAAGATTATAATTTGTATTTAAACTTTGGTGGTAAGAAGTAAGTGTAAGGCGAGGTTGTGAGAAACAAGAATATATCTACTATCAGAAAAATGGCTAGTTACACCAAATATCCCTCTCTCATTCTTAAAATAACTCATATTTTATTCCAGATTATAATGCAACAATTAAAATATTATATTCCTCAGTCTTCCTTGTACTATACATAGTGTAACTGTACAACTTATTTTTTATAACAGCAGAGAATCAAGTAAAGGAGTTACTCAGTTGGAAACACAATCACTTTTTTCACGGCCATTTCTTTCCTTATTTTGGTCTTGACCAGAGACATAATAACTAGAAGTCCAGCAGCCATTTGGGACTCAAGAGTGACCTTGAGGAATACAAAGAAAAATAGGATCCTGGATTCTCAGAGATACACTGGAGTTTCCACATCTGGAGTCCCTTGTTGCAGAGCTATTTTATATGGGAACAAAATATTTTTGTCGTAAAATAGTAAAATTATTTATGCTAAATATTTTCAGTCATCACATAAAGCACATAAAATCAAGAAAACTTACTGTTCAAATACAAATGATCAAGAATACTTCGAAAATGAGGTAAATGTCAGAAACTTTATTAGAGATCAAAAAGGTCATGATTGAAATGTGCTCATAGAAAAAATGAAAGAAAGCCATTGGTGACTTTTAGCAAAATCTTTTTCAAGAGTAGTGATTTGGAACATAAAGAGTCTACCAGACTGTAAAAGTAGTAAATAGAAGAAAACAGTATAAATAAGGTGAAAAAATGAAGATAACACTAATGTTGATATTAGAGGCTTGTCTCTAATAGGGCCTATAAAAAAGGAAATAAGCAGAAAGAGAATAAAACCTAAAACATTCTCTACTTTTTGTTTTGATGATTTCTTCTATTAAAATATGCAGCAAACAAGGACATGTTTGATTTATTTTCCAAATTAAAATCCTATGTGATTTCTTTTTTGGCATGAGGAAAATTATAAGCATATATAATTTGATGTGTGTGTTAGATACAGAAAGAAAAGATGAGAGGAAGAGAGAGCCAAAGATGACAGTGAGTCATTCTCAAACGGTGTAAATTTTTATTTACGTGTGATGTTGTAATTGAAATGTCTAAATAAAGTAAAATTAAGATTCTTAATTGAAATAATCACAATAGTTAAAGACAGATAAGTGTCATACCACATAGCACAGAATATAGAGTAAGTTTGCACCTGCATTGCCTTAATTTATAAACTCCTGCTGGTGTTTGCTAATTACATCAGAATATCTTAATAACAAAATATAGTTAGTCTTTGATCAGATTCATTTTAAACTTTCACTTGGTTTCTAATTTCTAAATAGTTGTTATCCTTGAGGATACTCTATAAGAATGATTTATGAGAATAACAGTAAAATGTCTGAAATTGAAACTGAGAACTTCATGGTGTATTTGAGAAAGAATATTTCAGGCAAATTTCTGTAGCAAATTGTTTATGAGCCAGTAAATTCTTCAATAGACATTTCACCAGCCTGCTAAAGATCCATATAACCAAAGCAGTATAAGGAATGAATTTATTTCATTTTCTATTTCCTTTCAAAAGTTTATACACAAATTTGTATCATGTGCCTCCCAGAAAATGTTATGACTATGAAAATTTTGGAGAAGAGACTTATAGCTTACATATTAATCTCTTTGAAGAATTGTATATTTCTTTATATTTTGAAATTATATAAAAATAATGTAAACATTAGATATTTATGTCCTAGTGAGTACATTCTCACAGTTGTAATCAGCAACAAGGCAGTTTTTCTCTGCTTAAAGATTACAGCTCAATGGAATGGTTTTTAAGGACAATAAATCACTTTTTATAAACATATTATCATCCTTCCATCAACAGATACTTCAATAAAGTTGAAAGAAGCCTCCTCCAAACACTGTGGTATAGCATTGCCTTCTATGTAAAGCAATGTCTTATGACAACATAACCACTATGTATTCAGCCCAACAAAATATTATTTATATCATTAAATTTACTATCACAAAAATCAAACAAAAGTAATGTATCTAATAATAGCCAAAAAAATTTAACTTCAAATTTTGATGTATACAGCAAAGTTCTAGTATACAAATAATATTCTTATCAAGATACTTTTAAATATAAAGAAACATTTTACATGAAAATTTGTGTCAAGGATTTTCCAGAAGTAATTTTTATGTATGCTTTAAATTATCACATGAAAAAACAGTCTTGTTTCTCCTTCTTAATTATTATCACCATCTTCAAATTGCACTGTCTTCCTAACATGTAAAGTCAGATCATGAGACTATGAAATATGTGTGTCTATACTATATTTATTTCAGTGAATAACATATTCAAACAGTATACATGGAAATGCAGGAAAGCTTGGGGGCTTTTTGACTCTAGACTTTCATTTTCCTAAAAGCAACCCCTCTTAAAGCAGTTTCTTCTCAGAAGTAAACTGAAAACATATAAAAGACTCATTATTGATAGACTTTGTTACAAAAGCAAATAGTACTATATTTATGTACACAATCATATAGTTATTTATCTATCAGATAACTTGCTGTATTTAACTAAACCTTTATCCAAAACCTTGAATAAAACATTTCTCCCCATGCATTTCCACTGCCCTCAACTAAAGCAGCCTTTGTATCCAGTACTTAGCATGTTGTATTATCTAGATATCTCTTCTGCTTAATAATTCTCAGCACTTGAAATTTTTTAACTAATTAATTTTATTAAAATTTTTGTTGCCTGTCTTCCACTGCTAGAGTGTTACCTATTTGACAGCAAGCATTCTTTCCTTTGAACTTTCAAACATTTCCTCCCTAACACAGAGTCTCAAATACATTAAGTATAGACTTTTTTTACTTTACTTGTCATTAACCGATATAATTCAAACACTAGTTGATCCCAGAAAATAATTTTGACTATAGCATTTCATTGTGTGACTGTATCATAATTTATTTAACTAGCACCCTAATAATGCACATGTAGGCAATTTTAATAATTTTAATCATTTAAATATTTAAGACACATAATACGTTAAAAATATGCTGGTGCATATAAATGTTTTATAGTTTGCAAAATATAACTGTTGGATAACTTTCCATAGTAAAATTGCTAAATGGAAGAGGATATGTACTGTTATATGGATGTCTGCCAAATTATTATCTCAAGATATTCTTCCAATTTAAATTCCCTACATAATATACAAGAATGAGCATTTCCCAAAATTCTCATCCATACAACATGGTAAAACAATGTTTTTTAAAGTTTGTTTTTCTTATTGTAATCTAATTTTGACACATTTTACAAATCTACAATCAATTTTTCCTATTTAATAATCCTTTACACATAATTTTATCAGGAATGCACTGATTTATATACATTCATTAAAGTGAATAAAAGAACCTGTGCATTTTCTTTTGATTAACATTCAGACTTTTTTTCTAACAGCTAGCAATTTAAAATTTTGGACACTCTGATGTCGTACTTCTTTCTTTTATGACTATTAAACTTACTTTTATGTTTGCATAGGTTATTCCAATTCAAAATGTTATAAGAAATATCATATGCTTTCTATTATTTATTTTTATGGATTCATTTTTATAATAATTGTGAGTCATCTGAAATTTATCTCCCCATAGGAAACAAGACTGTACTTCAAGAGATTTTTTTCCCAAATGGGTAACCAGCAATCCCAGTTGTATTCATAAAGTTACTTCACCTTCATTATGAACTGGACAATTATGTTCCATTTCTGGATTCTCTATTTTATTAAATTTATTTGTTTTATATAACTTCCATAAATATGTTTTTCCAGCTTCATGGAATTGATCCCTCTCATTACAGTTTTATACTTTTATCCATCCACCTATAATTATGATTTTGAACTTTGAGAAAATCTGACTATATAAAAAAATTCTTGATACTTTAAAAGAACAGACATTAAATATATATACTAGTTAAAAGTAGCATAATTATAATTTTAAAACATATATATGAACAAAGGAGGCTGTTTTATAGAATATTTTTTCTTCAACATTATTTTAAACTATTTTTCAAAATTTCACATCTGTACTTTTGCTTATTAATTTTTTTGGAATTTTGTGAAACTTTATTTCTGAATGTTTCCATTTTATATATTAACCCTAATAATCTCATGAATTTATTTGTACTCAGCAAACCTATTCTATTATTATTACACAATTTTTCAGTTGACATATGTATTTTCCTTTTGCCTTTTTACCTCAAACTTTTAAAAGATTAGTCGACCATTATTGCAATATTAGTGGACACATAACATTTTTTTGTGGGGGGATGTTTTGTTTTTGATTTGTTTTGTTCTGTTTTTGAGACAAAGTCTTGCTATGTAACCCAGACTGGACTTGAATTGGTAGTGATCCTCCTAACCTCAGTTTCCTGAATAGATAGACAGATAGATAGATAGATAGATAGATAGATAGATAGATTTTTATGATGTCGTTAATTATGTCAGTCTTCTTTTTGACAGATCATGTTCATTTGAAGCTTATATAATGACTATTAATTTAAAGGCATCATTTCTCAAAAAATCCACAGTGTGGCATGATTAAATCAATAAATTCAGGTTAATAATTAGAATATTTGAGTAAAGATTCAGAGTTCATTATGGTTCTTGTATGCTTAATAATATGTGTCATTTAAAAATACTGTAAAAGCTAAAATGCAGGTAAAATTATCAGATACTATTAACAATGATTACAAATAAATGTTTACCAAATTGTTAATACCACTTTATTAATTTCTTTCATTTCTATACTCTTATTTTTACTGGTATTTTTCCTCATACTTAGAATTTTTATGTATCAAATCTAGAACATTAGGATTAACCTCACAGAGGAGCCAACATAGCACACAAAAAGTATTGGCATGTGATCAGATATACCAAGATTTCTTTGTGACTTTCTACTCTGGCATCCAGTCAGACTTTATGTATTAAATAGAAACTTCCCAAATTTAAGAAATAAAAGGTTTTGTTTCATCAGCAAAAGACCTGTGAAAGCTGGATGTTTTTCTCTCTTGTCAACTTTCCACATACTGACATATTTAGGAATTTGCTTATGGTGACTTGTTTGCTAAGGTCATATTATCTAGGTTTTCAAAGATATTACATGGTGATTTCTTCTAAATGCAGTTAAACCTATGACTTTTTATATTTTGTTCTTCAGTGATACCTGAATTATTTTGTACATTTATGACACAAGGTAAGAATCTCATTTTTTCAATTTCATTTTTGAGAGACCTAGTTATGCAATAATATTTATTGAAGTGCTTATAATTTAACAGCTAAATTGTTTTGACATCTCTCTCATTTGTATTCATGTATTTACTGATATGTTCTTATGGCCTATTCCTATAGTAATTTCACAATACTTTAGTAATTATGGCTTTAAATCAAATATTGATATTTCTTAATTTGTATCCCTACAATTTATTTCTCTTTAAAATTACATTGATTGCTATTGGTTGTAATTCTTCCATATACATTTTAAATTGTAGATTTTTTTGAAAAGCCCCAATTGAATTGAATATGTGCATTCATGTTTTCAATTTATCAGTATAAAATATTTCTAATGTTTCAGCAGTTGGTATGTTTTCTATAACTATCTTTTATGAAAGAAATTTTCTATTACTTTGCTAAGGCTTTATATGTTGACTTTATGGTTTCAAATTGTTTTTAAACTCACCAATTCCCATTTTAATTTTGTATCTTTTATTTCCTAGATTATTTTGTGGTAGAATATATAGTTCGCTACTTCTTTGAATTCTGAACACTTATTGTAAAGTTTTTTTCCGATTTTTCATATTTAACATTGAATAGTATTTTGCTTATTGGATTTATTTGCTGTTTTATAAAATTTATTCATATATCCTAGAGTTATGTTTCAGTGTGATTAACATGATTTATGTTTTAATCTGATTTAATTAAAATTATATTTTCACATGAATTTCGAAGAAAATAGTAGCTTGAATAAATGCGGTGGGTTTTGTTTTTTGTTTGTAAGCTTTTGTTTGCTTGGTTTTTTTCACATAACAAGTTGTACAGAGGTACAACACCATGACTGTTGTAACAGTTCAATCATGAAATCATGGTTTCTTGTTCTGTCTACATACTCTGTCATACATAATGTGGGGTTTTATGCTTACACTATCAAACTAGTGGCTGTATTCCCAATGTTATATTATTTTTTTCAGGCAGAAATAATAGAAACGTTAAATAATTTCCTTTAACAAGTGTTGGCCCATGAACTCCTCACCTCAAACTAACACCATCAATGATCAAACTCTGTCATAATCTAGTTCTACAGAGGCTTCAAGTACTATTATTCATAAGTTGGTAGTCACTGCTCAGTAATTCAGCTGATAATCATGCATTCTGTCTCTCTTCTCTGGTGCCTTGTTCTTAAGAGTAGATTCATTGCATTAACTCATATAAAGCATTGTTATTTTCCATTTCCCAATTTCAGACACCTAGGCCTGTACCAGTGTTTAGTAGGCCCACAGCTTCAGACAATTAACTACTTTTCGAACTTTGATCCATGAAGATATTTGAGGAACATGATATTGTAATTTACACTTTAACTTACTTTAAGGTGTTTGGAGTGATCAGAGGTGAACAAACTATGTCCTTATATTACTTTGACTAGAAGCACACATCATTTTTGACTTTTTGAGATAATTTGGATTTGACGTTTTCAGAAATGTATACCATATATCCTAACATGACAAAACCATATAACAATTATTATTATTATAACAATAAATTAATCTTAAACCAAAAAAATATACTGGCCTTTCACCTTTCCTTTTATTTGTGTCTTTTTTCCATTCCAGAATGCAATTTGGTATCTTACATAGTATTTCTGGCCTCTTCTTAAAAGACCCATTCTTGAAAAGAATATTTGTCAGTTATTTTGTAAAATGTCTAATTCAACTTGATGTTTATTCATTATAAGATTGAGGTAATGTATTGTTGGGTAGAATACACAGAGATGTATTCTGTACATTCTTTGTTCATTCTTGTTGGCCACCTTCATAAATGTAAGTGCTAATGTTAACCTTAATCATACAGCATCTTAGTCATAATGGAATCAAAATCTTCCAAGATTTCCCACACTGAAGTCAGTTTTTCCCCTTATCCATGACTATTTGAGGTAAAATACACTGAGTGGTGTATTGATTAGGGTTCTCTAGAACAGAATCAATAGAAAATACCGATATACTCATACCAGGGGATTTATTACGTAGGTCTGCAGGATCAGAGGGGAGACAGACCACGATGACCATCTGCATTGGATGAGGATCCATAGTTGCTCATCTGCAAAGATAGAAGGTAAGGAACACGAGGCATCAAGGGTGAAGTATCAGGTGGAAAGATTACAAGTAACTTGGGTGTTAGTATGAGTATGCATTGGCAGATGAAAAAAACTGGAAACTAATGTCCAGTAGCTGTAACAGCAAAAGACTCAATTTCAGAAGGAAATTGGAACTCTTCAAAAGCATGCAAACATCTTTCTGCTTCCCTTTTTTAGTGTACACAGGTTGTAAGTCTATTGCTTACTGTGACCCACAACCAAGATGCATCTTTAATCTGCTGACATACATGCCAATCATCTCCCACATAACCAGATCTGTGTTTACTCACCTGCCAGGGATTTCTTAGTTCAGTCGGGTTAAAATAGCATGATTAATAGCCACAAGACTACACAAATATTTTGTTTCTGTTGTATCCTGTAATTTTGGTGTCCATATGGGATCTTGTCTATAGCTTCTATTACTATAATGATTATCTATTTTTGTTTCATTTCACTTAAATTTATTAAAAAAGAATCCCTCTATAAAGAGAAAACATTTCTGCTCTCTAAATATTTATCTATATGTATTTTTTAATTTTTCAGTCTGAATTACAATCCGTATGAATTTCTTCTTTCTGTCATTCTAATTTTAGTCATTGAAAGTCTTTCATATGATTCCCTTCTCCTATGCATTGTTTTCTTTTTCTTATATTTAGCACTTCCTGGATTTTGAGAATGACAAAATGCTCCAGTTCTACCAAAATTTTCCATTTCATTCTGTTTTATTCAGAAATTTTCTGTCTCAGTCAATAAGTTAACAAAAACTCTACTTTCTTTGAAGTATTTGGAAATCATGTTCTGAAGACAAGATGTGGTCATTGCTACATGGATAGAACCATTTTTATTGAATAGAGCTAAAAAATACATTACCCACAAATAACTGTAGTCATCTCTATATTTATCTGTGCTCATAGATCTACTTTTAAAATTTTCTATTAATATGTCTACCACCATCCAGCACCAGTTTTTTCTAGCCTCCCACCATTCCTTACTTGTGTCTTTTCCAAACTGTACTAAAACCTCACTCTCATTATCTTATTAGTTTGTCCTACTGTACAATTAAAGTCATTTCACAATTGCTAACAAGTGCTCCTATGAGAAACAATTTTATTAGAATATAGTATGCGTGTAGTATCTTAATGATATTCAAATTAATTCCTAGTTATTTCAGTTAACTCCTTTCTTTCTCTCTCTTTCAGTGTGATTAGGCGATTCTCCTGTAACATTTTGTTGTCCACATCAGTGCTCCACCCCTCACCCATTCACATATCAAGACTCTGCTTATTAAAAGAAATTAACTATTCAACACAGTTCACTCTTTATGACACACAATTCTGTGAAGTTTTGGAAAATACATATAATCCAATATTCAGAAGAAGTTTCACACCGTGCACCCAAAATTCATCAAGAAGTTTCATACTCAACAATGCTTTTTACTCCAATTCCTTTCTTAGTCTCTGTGATAAAGCACTGTCCCACCCCCAATTCTGACTACTTTTGTCTGTTTTTCTTCTCTAAGTTTTTCCTTTTACAGTGTGACATAAGTAAAGCCATGAAATATATAGGCCATTATGTATAGCAAAGCGCATTTTTCCTCTGCTGTATAAATCAACTGTTTATTCCTTTTCATACTAGGCTGTGTTCCCCTTTAGGAATGGACCTATGCACTGAATGTAACCTGGATATTCTCAATATTCAGAGGATAAAAATAGTGGTACTGCCACCATTCAGATTCAGATTTATGTGTGAGAATAATCTTTATTCTTCTTATTCAGATAAGTAGTAGATGAAATTAATAAATGTGTGATAGATTCATGGCTCTATGATTCATGGCAATCTATTTTTTTCAAAGTTAGTATACCATTAACTTTCCTTCAAGGACTGTATGAGAGTTTGATTCCACGTTCTCCATAGGCTAACCGGTAATTAAAATGCTAAATTTGGGGTCTGCTTTTGTTTTTAGTTATAACAATATTAGTAGGTATATAGAGGCATGTCATTAAGTTGGACTTTGGTACACCACTCACTGATTATGACTTTGGTCATGTTATGTGACCTATGTGCTTCACTCTTTTGAATTGTCAAAAAAAAATAATAGTCCCAGCCTCTCCTTAGGCTTTTGAAAATTAAATGAGACATGTAGCATAAAGTTTTTCATACATTCATTCAACTTGTAAACTTCTACTCTTTGTTTAGAAGTTTAGATTTGCTTCCATAAATTATCAAATTTCTAAGGCAAAGTAGTATTTGCAGGTAAATTAAAATTTTGAAGTTTGTATTCTACCTCATTATAATTGTTGATTCTTTATCTCTTAATTTTAGCATCTATATCATTCCTGTAGTAGTGTGCTTAGCCTTTGTTTCAGTTTCTCCTTAAATTCTCAATTCCATTGAATTTCAGTTTGAATTTCACTTTTCTGATATGCTTCAAGTCATTTGATTGTACCTTTCTCTAAAGTATATTTCTACTTATTCTAAAACTAATAGACATTCTCTCAGATTTATCTGCAGAAATTTTTCAGAGTAGACATTCCTACTGCTCATTGCTTGATTTAGAGTCTTGTGATAAGTAGATCGTGTGAGGCGGTAATCAGTGGGATTTATGGATGTCTTTCCTCTCCAGGGGCTCACAAACACTGATTTGGGATGTAAGGACTTAGCAAATACTATTTCATCCAAATTACTTACCTAGTTAAGCAAAAACACATTGTTTTGTGGTAGTCTTAACAATTATGGAAAGTGTATTTTCAAGATGTTTTCAAGATTCCCAAATTCCTTCTGGGCATAGTGATACACACTTGTAAACCCAGTACTCAGAAACCTGAGGCAGGAGATCTCAAGTTCATGATCAGCCTTGACTACACAGAGTTCAAGACCATCTTGAACTACATAGTGAGACACTGTCCCAAAAACTAAATAAATGAAATTCCCAAATGACTTGAAAATTATTTTATGATTTTTCCATAGGAGCTTGAAATATTTGAATAGATATATCTTTCTAGTGAACTCTTAACTGATCTATACTAAGAGAATTAAAGGGAAGATGTTTAGTATCCACTTTAATGCACTGAAGACACAGAATAAAATTTAAATTCTCAGATTTTTTAAAGAAAACACTAGTTTAACAAAATATGTCTTCACTTAATAGTTTTTCCAAGAAATCTGAGCTAATTTCCTCAATAGAAGTACCTGTATATCGTGAGTAATAATAATAAATATTGAGTAAAGCTTTTAATTTCAAGTATTGCCTTTCACAATATAGAAGAAAATACTAGGAATAATTTTCAAAGAACCTACATTTCTTGATTTAAAGTAAAACTGTAATGCTACTAATTCTTCACAAATTAATCTGGGGGATCAGATTACAATGGGAAAATTTCAGAGGGAGCAACACATAAGGGTGAGGGCAAAGGTATAAAACAGATATAGGAGATTTTGTTTGAAATCTGTCAACTGAAGTTGACTATTACCATAGGGGGTGCTGAATAAATATTTCAAAATCAGAATATCTAAAAGGTCGAGTTCAGGAGTCATCAGTTAATGAATAATATTGAAAGCTACTCTGTAAAACTAAGTACAGACAGAAATGATGTTTCAAGACTGAGATTTGGGACATTCAAAAATTCAGATAAGGCAGAGAAGAAGAGATTAGAAACCTTGACTAAGAACAAAAGTGAAGAAAAGCATGTAATAAATTAGTGTGAATTCAAGTAAAAAAAAAAAGTGTCCCAAAGAGGAAGATTAATGAAAACCTCGTGAAAAGTCAACTGACACAGATTTTAAAATAGGGCATTTAGTATCATGAAGGGATATAGTGACCTTGACAGTGGTGACTTTTTCTACCATGACAGTATGGCTAAAACCTTCAATGGACTAGATATACAAAATAACTTTTAAAAAGATTTAGAGCAAGTACAAATTTTCTAAGAGGGTGATAAGACACAAAATGGGAAGTAGCTAAAGCTAGAGAAAAATATTTTAATTAAATGATAGAAAACATATCATTTTGGTTGGTAATAGAAACAAATTAGGAAAAGGGAAAACTGATTTTGCAAAATTATATTTAGTTGATAATTATCTCTGAATTGCTGTAAAATTGGGTCAGATGTTTCAATGGAGAGGTTTTTAGGCTGAGATCATAGCAAAGAAAGCTCAAACACAAAGTACTGAACTTGAGAATGACAGTGATAAAGGAGTTATTGAAGATTTCAGAAGAGGAAAACAATGTTTAAGCAATAGTTACTGGAAAAGTTAGAAAAGATGCTGAATTCAGGCAAATATAAACTCAGTTGCAGGATACTGTTATAAGCTCTTTTCAGGTTTCAGTTGAAACTTTGAAGCGTGGAGAATTTCATCTATTCAATTGCCAGAAGGGATGAAAGTCTGGAAAAGATAAATAAGTCAGTCAGTAGAATTATGATTTAACCAGAGAATTACATGAAAATAAGACTATATAATAGTCTTTGTAGTAGAGGACCAAATTAAGAAGTCATCTGGGAAACAATGAAAAGATGTTATACATTCCATAGATTGTGTTCTCTGGCAGAAGCCTGCATATTATCAGAGTCAAAGCAGTGAAAGCCTTGAAATTTAATTTGATGGTAAAGAGAGTTAGTTTACAACTATGGTTTTAAAAGAAAGAGGGGCATATTGGATAAAGATACTAAGGAAATGAGAACTTGAGACATTGAAAAGACTGAGTTTTAACAGTAGTAGTATCAAAGAGGATGAATGTTATATGAAGATACGCACATGACGCCATGTTTATAAAATAACAAATGAACAAATCAGCCCACCAATCAATCAATCTATTTTAGCCTGATAAAGTGACATTTTAATGGGCAGGGATGAAATTCAGGGTTTAGTGTATTTGAAGTGAGAGGGAGTGTTTTGTCTTACAGATTTATTATCTATTAGAAAAATGTTATGGAATCAGATTTGAAAATACAGAACAATCAGCAGTAAAGATTTTTCCACC